AGCCTATGATATGTTCGTATTACCGTATCTAGGTGACGACACAACCGCCGTGAGAAGGTTAGCGACAAACTCATAGTTCTTACGACTATCGTAATCGTTAATTCTGTGAGTGTTGCTAAAGTGGCATACATTTGCAGGATGTAGTTGTTTGTAGGCGCTTGTGCGATCGTTACTGTTACCACGCGGGTCACGTTCCGGATTGAGTCGCCTCCAGCCAGGCTCGAATAATACCGGCATCTTGTGATCTGCAATCGCGCGGGTACGGTTATTTTCAGGAATATCCCTTCCTAGCATCATGGTGTTCGCACGTTCGGCATTACTATCGACGGTCCTATTATATGTGATAGCCTCCCAACGCACCCTGTTGAGACTATCCCATCGCGGAAACTCACTCGATGTTCGTCTTCTACCGGATATGGTTGCGCAGGCATTGACCGCATCTGATGGAAGGAAACGTTTCCTCAGCCAAGACGACCTCGAGTGTGAACGATGCTTCACGCAGGATGGTATGGTCTATGACTTGAAGGCAATAGGGGTCCAGATTGTAGAGTCGACATGCTCAGTTGGTCACAACAGTATTCTGAACTACTTGAAAAAGGCCGCAGATGTGCTGGGCATCGAATTCGATTGCGAGCCCGATGTGAAGATCATCCTGGATCCTATGCCCAGTATGGTTCAAGCCTCAGCTACTTGTACTGGTGGCAATCCTGTTCTCGGCACCAACGACCCCGGCTCTTCTTGTCAGCGTTATCTCGAAGTCATTCACTTGGGAGCTGCCTGGCGAGCGGCTCGTTGTGCCAAGTTGAAGTTGAAAGATGTTGTGCTGGCCGTCATTGACACGGGGGTTGATACGACTCATCCTGATCTGGTCAATCAGTTCTGGAGAAATCCAGCTGACGGGTCTATTGGATTCAACTTCGCCAAGAACAATACCAATGTGACTGATGTCCTTCGCCATGGTACCCACTGCGCTGGCAGTGCGGTCGCCCAGACTAATAACTGCATTGGCATTGCAGGAGTGGCTAACATTGAAGGCCCACCGCCGAAGGTTAAGCTGATGGTATTGAAGATCTTCGACGATTCCGGTGTTGGCCTTTTGAGTTATTCGCTGAGGGCCCTCAACTTCGCAGTTGAAAATGGTGCAACAGTATCCTCTCATTCTTACCGCTGGTATAACACAAGTGAGCTCCAGAAGGCTGCATACAAGAACGCCGCTGCTGCTGGACATATTGCTGTTGCTGCTGCTGGCAATGAAGCACTTGATCTAGAGAAGAACCGAACTTATCCTTGCTGCCTTGCAGAGGACATCCCATCCATGCTTTGTGTGGCTGCCAGTACTTCTAATCCAA